AAAGAGAATAGGATGTGTGGGCTTGAAGAACGAGGCAGTGAGCAGCCCAGAGGAGAAAAGAAAGCAGTTTGGGCACTATTCCACTCATGCAAAGACATGAGGCTGAATGAAGGGAGTTGACTGTGTAGAAGTTTTTGCAGGATCAAAAAGGAGCAGGAAAACATGACGCTAAAAGCAGGGAAGCTGAAACCTGCATAGGATGAGCATATGCTTGATTAAAAACCACCATCCAGACAGGAGCGGGGCTGATGGCCATACAGCAGCAGCGACCCTGGGATGACTCGCTCCCCCTTAAGAAACAACCAGAAATGGCAGGGCGAAGAAGAGAGGCTCGTGCTCTGCTTGGTCTTGCAAAAGAGTAGACTAAGGGAAGAACGGATGGGAGTGGGCAGGCAGGGTTGTCTAATGGAGAAAATGCTGTTGATTTATAGTGAGATCACGGGCAAATCACCTCACCGGTCTGTTTTTCCACTGCGGCTGAGCTGTTTCTTGCTACATGCATGGACAAGTGTAATAGTGCTACTACAGTGCTAAAAATAATAAACCCCAAATACGTGCCCCTTCCATTAAAACTGGAAGAGCACTGCAGGGAATCAGGTCCCAGGCCTCCAGTTCTCGTTATTTGCGCACATAATCCTTGTGGCTTTGGGCTTCCTCATCAAAATGCCACCTGAGTTATAAAGCAGATGGCCACAAATAACCTGTCTTTTCCACGTATTTTTTCCGTGTAGGAAAATGCTCCAAGACAAACCAAAAGCTGCGGTATGTGACGCAACCCTGGGCATTTCAGCAGACCTGCTCTGACTTACGCCGTGTTTCGGTTCAGCCCCTGTGTGATGCTCCCAGGACGCCAAAGTCACGGGAGGAGATTTCTGAAGATGTGGTCTGAGGGCTTGTCCGCACGGAGCGGGCAGGGATCCTGAGCCAGCTATTTTTTATCAACCCCCAGAACTCGAAGCAGAACAGACACTGCACTGCCCTCGTCTTCGGCTTGCATCTGCACGTGGCCCTGCCATGTGGAAGCCCTGCCATGGGCTTGAGGTTCTCCACCCTGTGCTCCACAGACAAGAGGGTTGTGCTGAGGAAAGCAAAGATTGGTCCAATTTGCTGGGACTGGCTATTAAAATTGCAGCAGGTTTCCAAAGCAGCTGATAAAAAACTGCATCTGCAAGCTCCATTCCCTGGTGTTGCCCAGCCTTGGCTGCTCCTGCTGACCAGCCTGCTGAGGCTTGGACCGAGTCCCATGCTCAGCCCTGCCCCGTAAAGGGGAGTTACTACTCTGGCAGCATGTTCTTGATTAGTGCCTTCCAGGATAGCACGTGGCAGGGAAACAGCTACAGAGCCCTTCTCCCATCCAGTGCATCCAGCTCAGGGGTTGGCATGCCCATCATCACCTCGGTGTTGTTGAAAGTAATTGGAGATTAGACATCTACACGCCCTTGGAAATCTACCTCCTGCTAAAGTGCCTGCACACCTCGGTGCCCTCTGAATGCTCAGAGTCGTATTCTGGCAATGTAAGGGGGCACTGTGCCACGAGGTAAGTCCCTCAGAAATACCCGGCAAACTCCGGTCTCCTGGTACCGTAGGGAAGGGTGAAGGCAGTGGTAAACTGGCAGAGTTATAAAAGTGGGTCAGCTCACCTGTTAGGTATTCTAGGTCAGGTAGTAAGAAGCAAACGAGCTCTTTACATTGCCTAAATTACAAGTGGGTAAACTTCGTGTACCGGCAGTTATCCCTGACTACCCTGCGAAAGGAATGTGCTCCAAAATGGCTTGTGCTGCAGAGGTCACAGTCAAGCGCTTTTGGTGGAGGAAACTAAGTCAGCAGCCCCCAAAGGGTCTAGTGTTAATGGATCTAATGCTTCCCCTCTCCTACCTGGTGCAGTAGCTTTTCTCTAGGGATGAAGCTTAAGAAAGAATCAGCCAAGCCCTTGTGTAGCTTGTGGTTTGGCTTCCCGCCCGCTCTGCCCTTCAAGCAGGAAATTCTCAAAGGGAAGGGAGTGCTTTGTGAAGCTGCCTTAAGACTCTGCCTTTTCTCTTTTAGTCAGAACTTAGCATCAGGTCATCTGGAACTCCTGGAAGCTGACCAGACAGACTGATGGCGCCTACAGAAGGTATTTAAGCAACTTCTCTACCTTGATCATTTTCCCTCATCTTTGGTCCTTTACGTCCTTGATTGCTGTTATTCAATCCTGAGATAATACGCTCCTGATATCACTGAGATGGGAGAGACAAGCAAGGAGGAAGAGATCAAAGGAAGGAGAAGAAAGAGAAGATGCCAAAGGCAGAAGAAGAAAGAGGGAAGATGCCAAATACTTCCTTGATTTACCTACTTTACATACCCGGTACACAAAGTTTCAGAAATTCTTAATACACTTAATTTTGAGAGTTCTGGAGTAACCACATCGACACCAGACAGCAGGAGACTGTCAGCAGGGGCCATGGGCATCCTCTTTCCACCAGCAGAGGAAGTAGCTTGAAAGCTGGATCCAGAAAGCCCAGGAGGCCCTTGGCACCTGTGAGTGTTGGCTGGGCTTGAAAAGAAACATGGCAGAGTGCAGGCTGGGAACAGAGTATGGTTTTAAAATATCTTTCTGCTTCCCTCTGCTGGCCACATAACAGATGTACCAACGTAACTCCTACAAATCCGGGATCAGGGTGAAGAACAGCAAAAGACAGGAGGGGTCATCTGGTGTTATCGCTACACAAGCGTTAACTCCACCGATTTCTTTGAATTTGCTCCTGAATTGCAGAGAAATTCCTCTGTGTGTCCTGGAGAGCTCAAGAAGATTGGAAATGGGACCAGGGCCAAAGCTGGGTGGGTGAGAGATCGGGAGATGGTACAGACGAGGGTGCTATACATAATTTCAAGGTTTAGACCAATAATATTGCATTACTGTTTTTCTCATCCTTTTATCAGTTGTGATTACAAAGTTAATTTAACAACCTTGATCTAAACTTAGTTGCTGTTCTTGTTACAAAACAGAATCATTATGAGTTACAAAAACTTTCAAAACAAAGACATGAACTTCAAACGTTTTGTTACTCACTTGATTATACTGAAATCTCTTTGACTGATAATTAAATATTTTTTTTTCTGAGTTTGATGTTACTTTCCTATGGTATTTATAAGGACTGGAGGAAATCTTGAAACCTGAAAGAAACAGCTAATGATAACAAAATTCTGAATATGGAGATAGAGGAAACATGTAACTACCACACCAGCTTCCATTTTAAATAGGATCTGTAAGTTAAAGGCAAATCTAACATTAATGCAGTATTCAAGTCAAGAAATCAGCAGTCATTTCTTTCTGCATTTGATTTCCCTGTTTTATTCAAGGAGCAAAGGGGGAAAAAAGCCCTTTGAAGCACTATGGTTGATGAATGGGCCGTAAGGGTGACTCAGTGCTGTTAAATCGCTGTCCTTGCTTAGTCAGACAACTTAACAACTCACTTCTCAGGGCTGACCCTCTCTCGACTGAAAATCCGAGGAAAGATGCTGAGCACCCCAGCTCCTGCCCAACTGGACACTAAGCTTCCCCACGCCACGCAAGAAGCGCTGTGCTTTGAAATCAAAGGCCTTGTCCTGGCAGTGGTGCTGACTGCCAAGAGATGGTGAGGTGGGAGCTACCACAGATTTTCAAATTGCATAGTCTCTCTGTGACATAACGTGACAAAAACACTGACACCTCATCTAATCAAGCTCTGGTGTTAGTGCTACCGGTCACAGAGCTGAGCTGGCAATAGGACAGTTTAAATACAAGCTCCATGAAAATGTAAGTGTGCTTCTGACCGAGGATAGTACAGGTCTTAAGATGAGCTCTGCAGCTAGAGGGAAAGTTAATGCAGGGAAGAGGTCTGAGTAATTGCTAGGGACAGAGCTCTTAGAGGGGTGGTGCAGAAGACAAGGAGCTGGTCAGCGCCACAAGGGAGCAAACAGCAAACTTTCCACCGTCCTGCAAAGCACACAGCAACGGGGTTATGATTTGGTACCATTTCTTATTCCCTTGTGCTCCTTTCTCCCCAAGGAGGGCAATTCGGGACCTGGAACACCTCTAACTGGCAGTGGACAGGAATTGTTTCAGATGCCACTTCCTGATTGGTTTCGTTAACGAAGCCCTGAAAGAAAAACCTCTGCACGGGTGGGGTTTTCCTTCTTCAGCCGTGACATGCCTGTGGCGAGTGCTGCTCCTGTTCGCTGCCTGGCGCCGAGTGGTGCTTTTCTGGGCCTCCTGCTCCAGAGCACCCCGCGGGAAGGCAGGTATCCCTTACCCACACGACCTCACGACCCTGCGTAGCGCCACCCTTCTGTTTCTCGAACAAACCGACCACAACTACTAACGCGCAGCAGGCGGCCAGCGGCTGGCAGGGCCGGGCCGCTTTCCTCCAGAGATGTGACGGGTCAGCCATAACCTTTGTTTTCCCCCCTCAGGGAAGGGCTGCAGGCCCGACTGCGATCGCGCAGGAGGGGAGGACACGGGAGGGAAGCGCCACCGCCGCCGCCTGGGCCTCAGAAGGGGCCTGAGGGGAGCCCCT